ATATAACTACATTCTAAAATATACTTTGTAATTCAGTATAATAATCTAATAGACCATCTATTTGTTCAAGGTTCTTTTTCGTATGTAATAATTTATTATTGAATTCAAATTTAACACATAAATTATTGTGACTTATTTCTCAAAGATAATTGCTCAAAAACACTTGATACCTACTGTACACAACTTCATACCCAATTTCATTTTTTTTTTTTCATTTTGGTTTTAAAAATAAAAATGTATTGAATTTTTATTTTATTAATTTATTTTTATTTTTTTTTATGACAAAATTTCGCAAAATTGTGCATGGGCAATAGAATGTTAATTTTTTTATGTTTCAGTTTTCACTACCTTAGTGTTATGAATTTATGACCACAATTGACTGGTATAAAAAATAATAATAGTAATAATTTAATTATATTTTTACTAATAATAATTAATACTATTCTTAGAATACCCCACTTATCACAACGCCCAAACACAATCAAATATAAACACAATCTCTCCCAAAGAAGCATTCAGCCCCGAACAAGAAAAAAGAATAATCGACAAACATAATACAAGACTAAATTTAATAAATTCATAAAAATTTTCTAAAGCCAAACATTGACCATTATATACCAAGTATTTACCAATATATCTAATATACCTATAAGGTATATGTATTGCACTGTTAACAATAATTATACTGTAAAAAATAAAAAGGGTATTCAGTACTTTGAGTAAAATTAAGACAAGACTAGGGTCATTAATGACTGCTAAAAATGTAAAGGTTTAATAAGCTTTTGTAGAAAAAAAATTGAATTTAAACAAATTGGATTAATTAATAATGATAACAATTAATTTGATCTTAAAAATACATTTTCGATTTTAATTTTCACATCATGATTTTAATACAATTATAATTGTTAATTTATATTTGTTAAGTATTATTGTATAAAAATCAAATTACTCTAACTGTCTACTCAAACGTCTAAATGAATAATAAATATTGTAAAATATGACTGGCTTACATACAACCCATAAGATTTATTAAAAGTTGATATTTACATAATTACTTGCCATTTTTTCCTCATTTCTTTTCAAGGAAAACCAACCTTTATAGTCAAGCACATATCTAGGGGGTAGTCCATGGGGTCTGGACCCCCCCCCCCCCCCCCCCAAAAAAAAAAAAATTTTTAAAAATATAATTAAAAGGTTTTGTTGTGTATTAATCACGTAAAAAATAAAAATTGTATTAAAAATTATTTAAATCTCTCCCCTTAAAATAAAATCCTGACTACGTGTATATATAGTACTTACTAGTTACTCTCCATAAATGAGATTCGGAACCTATTTTATTTTATGACCTTTGCCTTGAAAATTACCCTATGGACGCTCTTGCTTGGTAGTGCCACTATACTATCTAAATGACGATTTTTGAATTATTAATAGACAACAGTCATACACAGTCCATTTTATAAAATATGAGTTCCCACCTACCTATTTTAAATAGCTGAATAAGTACAAATACATCACACATCAGTAAGTACATAACGTCCGATTGAGAAGTGTCGTAAATCGGCAATGGAAAGATAACGAATAATAGTTGTTAATCCATGAACTTTGTTATCGCAAGAAGATGACACGGTGATAATATACACGACGTCATGCATACTGCTCATGGCTCGAGATTCGGGAAGAGTTGAACGTGCCGGCGTCCAGCAGACATGACGAATTGACAGTTGTATCCATTATTTTCAAATAGCAATTATCTACGTTTTTAAACAGCCGTACTCAAAAATCGAAATGTTTAATTCCATATTAAAACAGTGTACCCTCTCATGTACAAAACAGATCACTGTACCATTGCAATTCAGGTAAGTCGGCGTTATCTTTAGACACAATGATGACACAATTAATTATTCATAAATTATTAGTAGTGTTCTAATATCAAATTATTTCATTCTTGTCTCCAGATGTTTGTCTTTTAACACAGCCTCTCTTAAAGACAACAAAGAATTGGAAAATAACAATAATGAGGGGTGGCTGAAAAAGTTGTTGGTTCGACGAATAGAACCAACTAAAGAGCAGCATTCTCGCATGTTATCTGACAAAGAAGTAATATATGAATTACAAACGCACAATGTACGTCCCGATTCAACTGATAATTATGTGAAAAACTAGTAAGACATCATTTAAACATCTAACATAAAATTGTTTTCTTCATTAATAGGTATCTAACAATTATATATATTTTTTTAAATTATTTCAGTGAACAGGTGGTTCAATTATGTCAAAAAATACCCAACTTAAAGTATGAACTGATTGGCTCTTGGTCTGTACATGTAGGTGATCTAGACCAATATGTACATTTATGGAAACATCAAGGTGGTTATGCAGAAATTGATAAAACCAATAAAATTCTAATACAAAATCAAGTAAATTTTTTTTTCTTTTGAAATTTAATTTTGATTAATTTTTTAAAATGTATTTATTGTGATGTTAATTAATAAAGGAATATGCAAAATTACGCAATCAATGTGGTCAGTTTTTGCGTTCAAGACATCTTCAGTACTTATTAGCTTTCAGCTTTTGGCCTTCTATTGAATTAAAATCTGGTTCCAACATTTATGAAATTCGTAGTTATAGTTTGAAACCAGGTACAATGATTGAGTGGGGTAATAATTGGGCACGAGCAATCAATCACCGGCGTTCAAATGATGAGCCATTTGCAGGCTTCTTCTCCCAAGTGGGTCGTCTCTACAATGTTCATCATTTTTGGTGTAAGTATTTTTGCTATAAATAATTGATGAATTGAAATAAATTATTAAAATTGTTTAGGTTATAAGAATTTAGAAGTGCGTACACAAACTAGAGAAGCTGCTTGGATGTCCCCTGGATGGGATGAATGTGTTGCATACACAGTTCCATTAATTAAAGAAATGCAATCTAAAATACTATACCCTACACCATTTTCCCCAACTCAGTAATATATTTATTTTTATTTTTTAAATATGTTATTCTAAAAAAAATTTGTTTTGATGTCTCTACTATATATTTTTTTCTATTTGTGTTATTGGATCATAATTTTATTTCCAATAAAGTAATTTTTATTTATTAATAGTTTTTTATTTTTTCTATTGTATACAATAGTAAACATTTTAAACATTGTTCTCTTATCAAAACAACATAATCATTGAATACATTATTATACATATATAAATATATTATAATATTGTATTAATCAAATTTAAAACTAAATAATTAATTATTTATGCTATTTTGAGGCTCTTAGTTATTTTGGTTTTTATTAATTACCCACAGATTACAATTGAACAATAATATAATTAAAGTCTAATATAAAGTATAATATAAGTTCAAAGTCTTTAATCAGTTTAATTCTTTAGAATGAAAACAAAAATCAATTTCATCTGAAGACACAACAAAAAAATGCGTGTAGATTCTCAAACTATTAACCTATTTATTTCTGTACTCAAACATTACTTCATTTTAACTGTCAGCCTTCAAAACTATAATGAGAGCTGACAATTTTTTATCTCATTTATATTAGGTTTTTGATAAAGCTCCTTAATCTCCACATAATTTCTGATTCCCCATTCACCTATATTCATATGTTTACAAGAGGCAAGACTTGAAAATATTTTTTTTTCAATTACTTATAAGTTTTCTGGAGTATCTTATGATTTATAAAGCTTTTAAATTATGCATTCATACATCACCACCTGTAGAAAAGTTCTATACCTTTCTCCTTATGGCTATTATTCAACATTTTTACCTTAACGCTATTTTCAAAGCAAAATTATACCTATTGCCTGCCTATATTCTCACTTATTTTTCTTCTTGTGTTTCATTATTATAAGTGTATACAGATACTCAAACTCCTATACTTTGTAAAGTTTATATATAACAGCTACCAAATGAATGTGAAAACCTTTGGTAAAATCATACAATGAGCTATCATGTACTTAATCTTTCCCAAATTTATTTCCAATCCCACTATTTTTTCTGCCTCCAGTAATCCTTAAGTTTGTTCCATAAGCGCTTCTTTATTTATTGAGAATAGCATTATCTACTTATGCCAATAGTACTAACTTTGTCTTATCCAACTATTATTTTTTATTCAAAGCAATTTTGAACATCACTTTTTTTAGTTTAATATTATTCAATATAATATATAGAATATTAGGATACAACTATACAATATAGCTAATTAATAATGATTAATGAGCATTGGTATATGTAAAAAATATATAAATAATTACATTATTATAGTTAATAAATTAAATTAATTTTTATTTTTAAATATTCAATTAAAGCAACTATGATATTTATAACATAGAAAGTAAGGGAAAATTCATCTAGTACACAATAAGTATAAATTATTTTTTACAATCGTATTCCAATTATTTATATTTATTAAAGTTGAATGTAAATATTATGTGGCAACTGCATACTGGCAATACTTTTGATACATATTTATCATAAATGACAGTACTCACTAACTATGATTAATTTTGTATTATGTATAAATATGAGCGCCCAATTTTGTTTTATCGCTGATCTAACGTAAAATAGCAACTTTTTTTCGACAAAATCTATCTTGTGGGTCAGAAACTCAGAAAAATAATAAATTGACTACCAATATTAACTTAGTCATACCTTATTAATAGATTATAGTTCTTAATTTTGACCATAAAATTTAAATTCAACAAAATCAATAAATAATATATAATATAATTAGTATCATACATAAATTGTTATTTTTTACATTTTAATTTAAATTTTCATCATTTGAAACCAAAATAAAATTTGTTCAAACGAAGTATAACTGCCTTGTTTTTTTAGATATGTATACTAATTTTTTTTTAGATTTGTCTATCTTACGAATTGTAAGTTAAATAATTATAATTAAAACAAAATCATAATTTATTGAAATATTACATATTATCATTTCAATCTTTAGTTACAAAATCACAACAATTAAACAATTGTTTGGAAGATGAAAACTGTACAACAAATAAAAATATAAACAATAATAATTGCTAACAAAGAGAAATAATAAAACTGTTATATCAATCAGTTATCACAGTCATGAACTACTTAAATACATAAATAAATAAAAACTAATATTATTCTAATTTCTAAGGTTAAAAGTCAAAAGTTAATCAACAGAAATGATAGTAAAGGTGTTTACCCTAGTATATCTAGAAAATTTCATATACAGTTTTCTGAACCAAATGTACTGAGAATCGTGTGCTTGCATTGCTTTCTAAAACACAAATATAAAAATACCAAATATACAGCTGTATATAAAAAATAATTACTTACTGTCACACAATGTTGTTCTGTAGTTGAAATAGTACATTTAAAGTCTGAGGTATTATTGAATAACACATCAATATATTTGACATATTTCCGTAAAGTGTTGACTGAATCCAGTGAATACAAATGACAGTCTAAATTGTAAACGTTCAATCATTAATAGTTTACTATAAATTATTAAATTACATTACTTACAACTTGGAAGTAATTTGTTGTAAACCAAATGGAATAATGCTAAATATATTGATATATGATTACGATGACCACTAACACCATAACTATCAAATGTCAAAACAGTATCGATTTCTAATTGTTCTACGTGCTCAGCAATCTTGTCAGCCAGTAAAATTGTATCCCAGTCTACACTAGGGTTGTCCGGAAGCAAAGTATTTCTGAAATCAATCACTTCAGTAAAAACCATACCTGAGAGTGGTCAATAGGTACCAATAACACCAGTAAACATTTACTTGCATAACAGTATATTTCCCTCTTCAATGCCCAAAATCTTACAGCTATCATACAGTTCAGCTTTGCGCAATGAGCCCTTACCTTCAAAGTCACCTGAAATATATTATCGACAATCTATTAAGAACTGGCATTAAGCTTAATCACCATCATTGCCTTATTAGTTATTACCAACGGACAGACACATCAAGAAAAGGTGTACATCTTTCATTTTTGACAGCTTCTGTATGACTGGACCGAAAAACATACATTCATCATCAGGATGTGCAGTAATCAATAACACCCTGTGCGGTGTGTTCTCTAACTCGAGCATCTTCTGTCTGCGAGAGGCTCGCATACATGTCCAGACATATCCAACAACAAGTACCGATGCTGTCATGAACATAGCTGAACTCAAGTCTATGATTTCGAAAATGTTTTGATGAAATATCTTATACAACATTGTGTTCCTTAACAGTAAATAGGATCGATGCGTTAATGATGAACAGTTAATACTCAATTGTACTTATTGTATTTAATACTGTCTCAAGTATTTACTATTAGTTAGTAAATACTATTTCGACTATAAACAAGGGACTAGACTAGGTATGTACAAACTAGAAATTTCAAAGCTCATGATCGTCGATCAATAATGACAATGACGAATGAATAGATGAGCAAAAGCAAAATTGAAAATATCAAACATTCAGGATGTAACAATCTAAAAATCTAAGCTTCTACAAGTCTACAACACTTATCACTTATCAGTTATCATTAAGTATCTGCTATTTACTATCTGAGGTGTCGATAACACGTTAACACTAAAATTGTCTTATCTTCTACGTTCTTGTCAAATCACGTTAAATAATTACGATTTACAAAATCAGAGTTGTATGGCCTGTTGGTCTAGGGGTATGATTCTCGCTTCGGGTGCGAGAGGTCCCGGGTTCAAATCCCGGACAGGCCCTCAAAATTTTTGATTGTTATAAAATCTCATTCAACCCCGCTTGCTAACGACCATCATCTGTGAAGTTTGGTAATATTATCGTGGTGTCAAACATTTCGACGACCATTACTTATTCAACCAGGTGTTTGATCTTGTAAATCTATTTCACCACTGCTCTGTTGTAATCGGCCTGACGATTTGACAACAAATAGGTCCTTGTAAAAATACTAATATTACTATGTTTTATAATTTTTAATCCTTAAACATCATACTAGATACCGCTTAACCAACTATTAGAATATTAGTTGCCAACTTAAACGAAAAAGAATTCAAAACATAAATTTTTCAACATAACTTGGTATAATTTAAATATATATATATATAATAAAAGTGGCATTTATAAAAAATATGATGTAGGAACATAAATAATAAGAATATTCTTTTTATACATACTGTTTTAAGATACCTCCGTAAATATAAAACGTAAACCATAAATTTTAAGTAAAAAGGAAGATGAAGGCGGTAAATTATTGCCCAATGGCACAATAGCACATAATACCTAAAATCTAAATGGGTCAGTTAATAATCATTGGTTTTAACTTTTAATTTACAAGAAATAATAAATACATAATTCTACGTACAGAACATAATAATATTATGTATAATGCTCTTAGTACTATTTGCAACAATTTTTTTATTTTGTATCTGAGACGCGTTTTACTCGATTTAAAATTTTTCAATGTGGCCTCAAAAAAATGAGTCATACATAAGTTACAAATTCGATTTGCCCAGTTTATGATAAATTGATAACCATCATTCACGCCGCCGCGACTTTTTCGCGGTCCGAACCGGTCCGCGTAATCGCGCGGTGTATTCGGTGTACCTAATGAACTTTTTGGCGACCTCCTTCGTCTATATAATCACGGCTTTTGTCGACACCGCGCTCATTCGTCATTTTATCTATCTTGAGTTCGTCTCCGTCGACGTTTGAGCGTCGAAGTATAGTATGATTATTATTAAGTCCGCGATATAAATATATAATATAATATAATATAATATAGTATATACCTACGTAAAGTGTTGTGCCGCCGACGTCGATCCATATTATGGTCAATATCATAATATAATTCCATATCTATATTCGGCGATCATACGGGTCATTGTCCGTTCTTGCGCATCTATTTCTACTGCCGAGCTGAAGAGCGGTAACGGCCGATACAGCAGATTAGCCACCGTTAGCATCGACTATCATCGGAAATCGATAAGTTTTTATTATTACCTACTATATCACTATTTTGCGCGTTATTATTATTTACGTGTATTGGTGTGTGCTGTTAAGAGACGTCTTGATGGTCACAAAATATCTACTTATACCTATAATATAGATGTACTCAATATTGATTAATATTTAAATATTATACATTAATTTGTATTACTTATAAACCGATATTTGGTCTTACTGTATTATAAGTCACCCCATTTACTGATTCTTTTCATAACACATAAATCTTGTATTTTTCAACCGTCGTACGGTGCGAGTTGTCGAGTTAGGTAAGAGTTCGACAGCGCAAAACAACCATTGATAGATTCAAAAAATTTAAATTGTTGTTTTAATAATTTATATGGTGATCATGATTTTTTTAGGTATATTATCTGACAGTTCAAAAACTCATTGAAGCCTCTCTCATACAGTAATAAAATAGTGTCTAATAAATAGGGTCGGTTAGGGAGGGAAGCATCTAAAGCCTGTAGGCAATTTCTGGAGGCGATACACTTTGGTGACGTTAAAATGATCTCAGATAACATGAATAAAAGTTAAGTTTTTCTTTGCTAAGAAAAACATTTATCTCAAAAATGATAACATAATTCATTGTTTATTTTTTAATCCACATATCTACATTGTTTGTATTAACTACCTATATTTTGTCATTTTAAATAGAGAAAAATAAAATAAATGTTATGAATGAAATACCTAACTACCAAATAGGTAGTACCTATTTTGTTTATATTTGGTGATTAACTTACTGTCTTACTAGTGTCTAGTACCTATAACTGAGACTGTAAAACAATAAAAATAAGTTCATATTTCATATAGTATAAATAGATAATATTATCTCAAAAATGTCATTGCATATAGTATGTAAAATTCAAAATAATGTAATATTAGTACGTAAGTTTTTCCTCGCGATTAATGTTATTGATTTATAACAAAATAATTAACATCGTTTTCCTTCATTAAAATACGCAATTTTTACAAATTTGAACTTCTTCAAAGTTCTATAAAAAAGAATTATATTTGATCTTTATTTTACATTTTTTTTTTCAGTATGAAATACTTATGAAAAATATCTGTTATATTTTCAGATCTTAGGTAAAACAGAATTTTTTTATAAATATCTAATTACAAAATAATTTGTTATTTTTGATATTTTGACGAATTTTTATAAAATTTGAACTTAAAATTCATATAAAAAAACATTGTGCCTCTGTATTTTTAATAATAATTATGTATAGGTATAACTGATATAAGAACAACTAGGTTGAAACCTTGTATTAAATATTCAAGAACATTGACCCATCGAATAAATCATAATAAATAATTTATATTTTAATTGACATTAATAGATAAAAAGAAGAAAAATGTTCATACCTATAAATAGTTTAAAAAGTGTCAAAATATAAACATAGTACAATAAATAATAATGATAATATACACCTTTGGCAAAAATTTCAAATATCTAGATTTGGTAATTTGTTTTTTAATTAGATAGTTAGTAGGTACTACTACTAAAAAAACGAAAATTGTCACAGAGAAATAGACATATTTTTTTCAATAAAGATTAAAAACCGTATAAAAAATATTGTATTCAATTTTCAAATCTTGCGCATAAACAAACAATTCTTATGAATTTTGTCAAAGTTTCAACTTTAAAAATGTATAAAAACAACTTATGACTTTAAATTGTTAACATCTTTTAATTAGAAAATGAACATTTTACAAGGAATATATTTTCAAGCATTTTTTTATCCATTCATAAATGTTTTGTCGAAATCTATAAAAGAAAATTGAAAATTGCAATTGCTCATAAATAATATTTGAAGTTTCTACGGTTATGTTGGTATGGGATCACTTAGAAATTAAATAAATAAAGAATAAAATATGTATACGCACGTCACACACACATTTATATATATAGAACGGTACCGATATTTGGATATTTAATGGATTGACATTGACGAAGAAGCCCAAACTACTAAAGTCATAACTGAAGCAGACATCTATGTTTAAATTCATTCAAAACAGCGAAAAAAGAATGTGGCTGATGATAGTAATAAAGAGAAACCACCATCAATAAAACCGATGTAAAAAGCGCTTCTATGCAGAGAGATTCAGCAAAAAAGGCGATTTTGACATATCCGAGCAACATAAAGACTAAGGAGAAATTATTATGAAGTAGGTCGTAGAAAAGAAAAATCCAATAAACCCTGGATGGATTTTAATCAAAAAATTAATCAGGTGCCCACGTTTTTACAATATTTTACTACTTAATATATATTTGTAAATAATCAAAACGTTATCTATTAAATACACATACATTATTGTATTATTATACATTTTATTACATATAAATATATTATAGCTGAAATCTCGATAAATATTTTTTTAATTATTTTATAGTCATTCGCTTTATTGACTCATTCAGTCATTTTGTTTATGGACTCATATGACCTGGGCCTAAAATAAGTCTAATATAAGTGGCGACTATATACTATTATAATTTTATAATTTATATATAGTTTTTTTTTTTTAACTGCCCATGTATTTGGGACCCGTAATCTTTTTGAAGATAAAATCAAAATTAAATTTAAATAAAGATAAAAAATGTTACTGAAGAAATTCAAAAAAATAATGACCGACCACCGTGGGTCCAACATTCCAGTGTAATAAATACAAGACAGACACGTATGTGTACAAACGTCACTTCGGCAATATTTTATCTATTACATCAAAAAACAAGTCACTCACAAATAATTTCAATTACAAGTAATATGTAAAATATGTTATTAGTTACCTATTGGCTGCCTATTACTAATAAGACAGTAATAACTAATAAGTAATAAATAAAGTGTGAATATTGAATTTGATGTGCTAAATCGCATATTCGCATATTATTTATTCTAGTTGATTATACTACATTATAATGCGTTAAGTAAACACAAAATTTGATGGCAAAAATTGAGAATATGAAAACAATTTTAATGCGTGTTTATTGTTTACGCATTTTATTCATGTCTCATCACGATTTAAATGAACTGCATATTCAACCGTTGGCGTTTTTTCTAAAAAATTTCAAAAAATTTCAAATTTAATAATTATATATTGACAGCATAAAAATAATAATTGTTATTTGAATTATTTTAGTTTAATATTCAACTTATTCAAATGAATTGTTGTAGGTATACTTGTATACATGGATATGTCCCGTAATTACGATATAATATCTAGATAATAGGTG